GGTTTCAGGGTGAAGATCTTCTCTCACTACTCTAAAGGGCCCCTTTGGCAATAGGAAACACGTAGACTATTATGGAGGTTGATTTTGGAATTTAGATGCACTGGCATTATGTTCTTTTAAGGATGATCTCTACGGGCTCTAATTGACAACAGGAACTAGAAAGATTACATCAGAACCTAACTGGGTGATGAGTTCAGGCGAAGGAGGGAGAAGCAACTCGGAAGAAGAGAGAGAATATTTGCACAGCTTGAAGAGTGCGATGTATTGCTGACTTGTACGTGTAGAACCTTGGTTCCGCTCATGTGTTGTTTGGTGTTACTGACTCACAGCTGACCCTCCAGCAGGAGAAGGAGGTGGGGAGAGAGCTCATCTTTTTCCCACAGAGCAGCTGGCGGATTTGAACCAGTTGCCTTTGGGTCGGCAGCTCAACTCCTTACTAGGCTACTAGAGCTCCCTTGTGCATGCTTTGTATTCATCAGCCAGCAAAGGAAATTCTTTCTCAAAGAGTTAGCATCAAGTCAGGAGCTGTGGTGGTATAGTCCACACAGGGTTGCACTGCTAACCAAAGAGGTGGCGAATGGCTGACTTTTAGGAAGTAAATGACCAGGCCTTTCCTCTTCAGTGTCTCTGGGGTTGGGGGTGGGGTGTTTCACTTGCATTTTTAACCTTTTGCTTAAAGGCAGTAATCACATGAACAGTGCAGTCCATACCTTTTCTTTCAATCCTAGGATCCTCAAAACACAGAATTCCATGCACACCCATGTTTATTGCAGCTTTGTTCACAATAGCAAAGAGTTGGAAACAACCTAAGCGCCCACCAACAAACGAATGGATAGAGAAGCTCTGGTATATTCACACAATGGAATACTATGCTGCATTGAAAAACAAGAACTCATGAAATGTTATGCAAAATGGGTGACCCTGGAGGACATTATGCTGAATGAAATATCTCAGTCACAAAAGGATAAATATTGCATAGTGCCACTGTTATAAAGAGAACTGACATTGAGATTGGGGAGAGACTGAGGAAAAATGGGATAAATAATGTATACTGCATTCAAACAGATGGGGGAGAGAACTGTTTAAAAGGGATATATGATTAGGTATTATTGTCATGACAGGAGTCCAGAATGAAGGCTACATAGTGGAGTGGAGTGGACTCAGGGGGAGGGATTGTATAACAGTGAAAGAATTTTTCTTTTACTTTTCAAAAAGAAGAGCAAACTTGGGGGCAGCGGTGGGCCGGAATAAAAGTGCAACAACGAATGAATGGAAATCCAAAGTCTTTGTAAACTTTCATTAAAATTAATAATTTAAAAATTTTTTTTAAAGTACAAAATTCCTTAACAATACATGTGTAGGGAAGCTTAGAGTCACTAAGGAATCCAGCTGGGAGCTCTTGAAAGATGTCCAAAGCCAAGTCACTCCAGACACAATGACACAGTGTTAAAAATATTCCCACTCTCAGCCAAACACAGTCACACAGGGTCTTGTGATCACTAGTCTGTGTGCTGCGAATTAACCTCATCCAACGAGAGGGCAGTGAGCACAGGGGGTTTGATGATACAATTTTTGCCTGTGACCTGTTGTCAAGAACAACAGTGAAAAGCAAGGATGTCTGTTTGAAGACTAAGGTGTGTCTGACCCAAGCCATAATACTTTCCAATTGCTTCATATGTGTGTGAAAGTCGGGCATGAATGAGCAAGGAAGACTCAAGAATTTGGATTGTGGTGTTTGTGAAGAGTGTTGAAAACACAGACTGCGAAAAGATCAAGCAAATCCTTGAGTGCGACCAGGGTGTTCCTTGGAGGCCAGGATGGTAGAACTTCATCTCACGTCCATGGGACACGTTGTCAGGACAGTGGGTCTTTGGGAAAAAAAGACATTGTGCTGGGAAAAGCTGAAGGTCGGCAAAGGAGAAGATGACTCTCAACGAGATGGACTGACACAGTGACTAAGGGCTTGAGCATGGTAGGAGATTGGGAGGTTGGCACAGGACAGGGGAGAGCTCAGATCTGATGTTCATCGGGTCGTTGTGAGTCAGAGTAAATTAAAAAACACCAAAGCAGGAGACCTGGGTTTCATCTTCAGCACCTGTAGGGTAGCCAGCACTCCTTGGTCAGTGAAGGTTTGTATGCTGTTGTGATGCTGAACATGCTTCCGCGGTGTCCAGTCTAGGACTAAGACTAGGAAGAAAGGTCTGGCCACCTACTTCTAAGAACCAAGCAATGGTTCTCAGAAAACCTTATGGATCCCCACAACGCACTCTACAACCAACCTCGGTCCTGGTGAAGGACGGGGCAGTGTTTCGTCCTGTGGGGCAGGGGGTTACTACAAACTGGGGGCCCGACTTGATGGCTGACTTTCATAAAACGCACAACTTCCTGCTGTCAAGTCAGAACCAACTCACAGCTAACCCTCAGGCGGTTTCTGAAAGCTGTCAAGTTCACAGGAGGGGACTGCTCATAAGCCTCCTTTAGGGTCCATCCAAACCACTTAAAAAGGCTAACTCCGCATGGACTACGGCAGAGCTCTTAGGTCACACTGGTGACAGGGAGGTGGTCCAGCCCCAGAAACCTGGTGGAGGGTTATCATGCAAGTGGTGTCAGAGGTGAGGGTGGTCTCTTCCTCTGCTGCAGCCGGAGCCTCAGAGATCCTCGCACACCAGCTGGATCGGGGTGCAGGTGTGCGTACCCTCCAACCCTGCTCCCCACAAACCTCCTCTCAAGGAAGTCCAGCTGGGTAAGTGATGTGGTACAAAAATAGTTTATTACAAAAGAGATCCAACTACGACTGCCTAATAATTTACATCATAATCAGTGCCCGGCTGACAGCCCACCTCTCCTCTCCTGGTCCACTGAGAGGAGGGGCTGTCCCTGGTTCCACCAGCTCTGGGACAGAACAAGGAAGTGGATGTTCAGGTCTGGTGCCTGGTGCCTGAGAAGAAGAGGAGGTTCTGGGTGGGAGGATGAGATGTGGGATATCTGATCTGAGAAGAGGGGGCTTATGGGTAGGTGCATGTGCTCTGTGCAAATCCTGGTCCCAAAGGTTGGGGGGGGGGGCAGGGTGAGATCTTCACAGTTTCCAGGAGGGCTGACCCCACAGGGAAGGGAGGTCCCTCCTCACAAGTCCAAGATCTGCCCCCCCCCCATATCTCTCAGCTGCCTCCCGGAGCTGAGGAGGGGGGCACAGGCCGACCAGGGGCTCGGAGGACCCCAGCAAAGGGCAGGAAGGCAGGTGGAGATGCAGAAGGAAGGAAGAAGTTGGGAGGAACCAAGGCGAATCCAGCAGGGTCCTTGGGGGGAGACTGGGAAGGTGAAGAGGATGGTGATGCAGAAAGAAGGCCTGTGGGGAGAAAAGAAGAGTGAGGGTGGTGAGAGGTCAGATCCCAACAGGAAGGGGCTGGGGGGCTGGGCTCCTGAGTCTGAGGGAGGAGGGAGCTGGGCTCCTGAGTCTGAGGGAGGAGGGGGTTGGGGGCTGGGCTCCTGGGTCTGAGGGAGGAGGGGGTTGGGGGCCTGGGCTCCTGGGTCTGAGGAAGGAGGGGGTTGGGGGCCTGGGCTCCTCAGTCTGAGGAGGGTGGGGTCCGGACCCATGGTGAGGGAGGAATGACTCCTGTGGGGGTCTACGGGTTGGGAGTGGGTCTCACCATTGGAGCTGAGGCGGCTGCTGCTCTCAGGGGAGTCGGTGGCACTCCGATCAAGGAAGGTCTCTGTCTGGGATGGTGGGGCTGGCCTCGTGGCCTTCCCCCTTAGAATGTCAATGACCTGAGGGAAGATGGGGGAGTCAGCAGGGGGACCTCTTTGTTTACAGGGCTTGTCAGCAGCTTCACTGAGGGTCTGTCTTGCTTAGTGTGACTTGAGAGAGTCACTTCCTTACTTTGTGCCTCAGTCTCTCATTTCTAAGCCTCACGCTCTGGGGCTCAGGGAAAGTGTGTGCCCCTAAACTCATGCTAGCTCACTGCTGTTAAGCGGGACCCCGTATGTGAGGAGCAGAACTGCTCCACAGGGTTTTCAAGGATGTGACATTACACAAGCAGATCGCCAGGCCTGTCTTCCGAGGCACCCTTGGCTGGGTTCAACGCAACGACAGTCTTTCAGCTGCACTAGGGGTTGTGTAAAGGCTTACCCCACTCGACCACTTATGCCCACCTGTTTACTTGCCCTTTCGCACAATTTCACACATCCTGCACATATGTGATTGCTTCACTCCCCTCCCGCAGACATCCATGCTAGCGTGTACACATGCACGCACAATGTCAGCCCAGTGCACACTTACCCGGCGGCTGCGTGCCACCATGAGCGGGGTGTCATTGTGACAGTTCTTGAGGCCGCTGTCTGCGCCGCTGCGGACCAGCGTGCGCACGAGAGGGAGGAGCCCGCGGCCCGACGCCGAGTGCAGTGCCGAGCTGCCCGAGTACATCTGCGCGTTCACATTGGCTCCATGCTGCAGGGCGGAAGGGGCGGGTCAGAAAGGGCTGGCCAGCGGGCGCCAGCAGGTGCAGGCCAGAAGGGGCGTGATCTTGCAGAGGAGGCAGGGCCAGGGTGGAGGCGTGACCAAGCGAGGTGGGTGTGGCCGCAGAAAGGCGTGCTCTGACTACGGAATAGGTAGGCGTGGAAGACAAGGGGGTGTGACCAGGACTGGGGCAGGGCCACTGGAGGTGGGTTTGGGTCATAGAAGGGTGGCCTGGCGGCTAGAGCCCAGAGCAGGCCAGAGTGGATTGGACAGGTGGTGAGGAATCAATCTGAGCTGAGGCAGGCAGACCTGGCCGATGCAGTCAGAGACAGAAAAAAATCCAGGCAGGGCCAGATTGCTGTTGGAAGGCGGGAGATCGGTGCGGGGACAAGGCTAAATCTTGCAGAGGGTGGGTGATAAGCCAAGGAGGGGGCTGAGCCCACCTGGAGAAGCAGCTGCACCATGCTCAGACTGTTGTTTTCCACGGCGTGGATAAGCGGAGATCGGCCGCTTTTAATGTCCTGTGGCGAAAAGGAAGGGTCTTTGAGAGTCTACAATTTCTAACAGCTGGCAACCCGCCTCCTACCTGCCTTGTCCACCCTGGGTCACGCTAGAGCCTTCAAGCCCCGCCCCCTTGGACGCGTCCTCCGCGAGACAACCCCACCCTTCGCCCCGCCCGATCCGCGCATGCTCACCATCGCGTCGATGTCAGCGCCTCGCTCCAATAGCAGCAGCACCGCCTCATGGCACTCGGTGTTCACAGCCACGTGCAGTGCGGTGAGTCCTGCAGGCCGGGGAGGTGCGGTCAAAGCCAGACTGAGGACCTTGCAGCCCCAGAGGGCCTCCAGGTCCCAACCGTGGCCCCCTAACCTCCGCACCCCATTCTCACCATCGTAATTGCGGGCCTCCAGGTCCACCGTGCCGGGAGCCGCGCTGTCCAGCAGGGACCGCAGGCAAGTCGCACAGCGGTGTTCACACGCCAGGTGGATCGCCGTCTGACCGTGGCGGTCCAGTGCCATGGGACTGGCGCCAGCCGTCACCAGTAGCCGAACCACAGATGGCAGTGTGGTGATCACTGCCAAGTGCAGGGGGGTCTAGAAGAAAGCGGTTGTCAGGGACCTGGGCTCGTCCTGCCTCCCTCCCCCTGAATTTCAAGGTCTCATTCATATCCCGCTTCCCAGTCCAGGGCACCTCCTCTGACCCTGTAACCCAGGAATCCCAGCCCCCTTGCCTCCTCCCTTAGACAAGTGCCCGCCACCCTTAGAACCAGACATATGCGCGCCTTGAACCACGTCATGACTCAGGGGTCCAGGCCCTGGCTCCTAGGCTCACCTGCCTCAGGTTATTGTAGATATCCAGCTCCCGGCCCCCATGCTGGAAAAGACTGACCAGGCGGTGAATGACCGGCAGGTTACCCTGGACCACAGCAATATGGAGGGGCCTGGAGAGGGTAGAATCACAGCCAGCCATGAGGTACTGATTGACTGGTCGACCTCTTCAATCACTGTGAGGTACCCTTGACTAAACTCCACTCACAGCAACTCTTACAAAGAACAGAACGAAATTCTGCCCAGTCCTATGTCATCCTCACAATCTCGGCTGTGCTCGAGTCTACTGCTGCACTTGTTGAGGGTCTCCCCCTTTCTTTTTTGCTGACCCTCTGGCCCAGTGATAAGGATCCTCAATGCCCACTTGAAGGCATATGGTCAAATCCACCAGCTACTCTTCCAGAGAAAAGTGGGCAACCCCCTCCTGTGTTAACTTATATTTACTGCCTATAACAACATGCTGGAACATCAGCTTTGGATTGGTTCTGACTCAGTGGTATGTAACAAAAACAACTACTTTCCCAAGCAAGAGGTCCTTCTCCAGGGACTGCCCCCATCACCCCATAACATGCGCAAGAGAGTATGAGATCCAGTCTTGCCACTGTCGTCTAAGGAGTGTTTAGGCTGCACTTCTCCAAGACAGAGCTGTGTCAACGTCAAGAGAGATGTGCTGGGTGTTTTGGAAGGATCTCCAGAATCCAGCCACTTCCCTGGATGCCCCCCACCCTGGCTGGGCAGCTAAAGGCTCCCTCCTGGACTATCTCCTCCCCTCTTCAGCGGCTTCCCTGCTCCCACACCTGCCCAATCTGTTCCCTCTAGATGGGCCCTTTTAGAACCTAAATCAAGTCATGTCAGAACTGCCATCTCTGGCTGGCAATACCCAAGGTCATCTTGTCTCTCGTCTCCATGGTCCTCCAACGTCATCTCCTTTGTTCCCACACTCTCTGTTGGCCACAATAGCTTCTTGGTGGTCCTTAAATATACCAGGCCTGCATGCATGACTTTGCACTGGCTGTTTGCTCTGCCTAGAACAGCCTTTCCTCACATAGACCTGCAGGGCATGTTCTCAGGAGCACCTTGGATGGTGTAAACCATTTGGACCCCAAGCGAACCTAAAATAGTTCGAACTCACCCAGTTGGGCTATGGAAGAAAGGCCTGGCAATCTGCTTCTTTCAAGATTAACCCGAATCAAGCCCACTGCCATGCAGTTGACTCACAGGAACATTGTAGGACAGAACAGAACTCTCTCATAGCTTCCAAGGCTGCAAATCTTTATGCGAACAGATGACTTCAGCTGGCTTCCTTGAGGTGGTGGGTAGGCTCAAACCACCAACCTTTTGGATAGCAGCCACATGTTTTTAATCACAGCACCACCAGGGCTCCTGTAAAGTGAGCAGCCCAGGAAGATCTAAGGGACAGCTCTTCTGTGACACACAGGGTTGCCAGGAGTTGGAATCAGAATGGACTGTAGCAAATGGATTTCATTTTGCTTTCTTTTCTTGGCTCAGGTCTCTCTTAAAAAGGGCATAAGAGTGGCTGGCTTCCCCTCCCCTTCTCCTGGCTTGCTCTTCCTCCATGCTCTCACCTGGCATTGTCTCATTCACTTGTTTCCTGTCTGAGGTCCCCCCTCGCCACCCCCTCCACGTCAGCGCCACGAGGGCACAGGCGTGTTTCGCTTTGGCTCATTGTCCTGTGCCTGGCACAGTGTACACACCCCCTCAGAACATGAGCCGGCTGAGTGATTCTATTTCAACCGTCACCTTGGCCATCCTCAGAGCTGCTGACCACTTTCCAGCCTGCCTCTGTGAAATGGGTGTGACTGTGCCTGATGCCCTCACGGTTCTCTCTCAAGACGTTAAGTCCAGCCTCCACCTGAGCGAGAGATACTAAGTCTGCACGGCGACAGAGAGCTTCTCCTTAAGAGGAGGTGAGGACAAGCTGAGATGGGCCATGGCTGTGAACACTGAGCTGTGCAGCCCAGACGCACCTTCAGGACTTGTTCTAGAAAGGTAGACACCTGCGCTCTCTCTCTCTCTGGGACCACCCTCCTCTGGAGGAAGCTGTGTGTCCAAGGTTGGAGGGGTGCTGGCCAACCATCACTCACTGACATCCAGTGGCTGGTCAATATGGATATATAAGGCAGGCCTGGCCTCTGGGACCCCAAATCTGAAGGCCATTCTTGTGTCAAAGTTCTGCTGTAGGTCAGCTGAGGTCACACACACGGCAGCCCAGACTCTCTTTCTATGCATCATCTCCCATGGGTGCTGATCCGGAGCATGTTCCCCAGAGAGTCTTCCTGCCCACCTCGCAGGCACCCCCAGCCGCCAACAGTGATCCAGCGCCGAGGGCAGTGAGGGATGATGGTGTGTGTTGGTGAACGTGTGCGCGCGCACGTGTGCAGGCACACACAGGCACAGGGCAGGAGGATGTCAGAGCCGAATGTGATGTGGGATGATGGGTGATGTTGATTGCTGGGCATGTGTATACCTGTGTGTGTAGGCACACACATCTCTGGGGCTTGGGACACCTCAAAGCCAAATGCAATGTCTGACTGCAGCTACTGGGACCAACAGCCTTTTTTTTTTTCCTTTAAAGTTCAGAAAGTTACCAGATCAACTACTTTCTCAGTTCTCACAAGGGTCGAAAGTGCCCCCAGAATCGACATTTTAAACCAGTTCCCTAAGTTATTCTGAGGGGAGGGGAGACATCTGGCAGCCCAGAGGACTTCTGGGAGCAGTGGGCTGCAAACCAGGGGGTGGGGGTGCTGAATCACGTGGTCTTCTGGAAACTCCACTTTCTCTATAGTAAAGCAGAGCCCCTCACTAATTCTCATTCATTGCATGGAGACCCTCAGTGGGTTTTCAAGGTTGTAAATCATATGGGAGGAGATTGCGCATTATTCTTCTGCAGAATGGTTGATGAATTCGAACCAGAGGTGTGTAGCCCTTGGCTTGGTGGTACAATGAATGCCCTGTGGACTAGGCCACCAGATCTCCTTATGTAGCCTCTCAGTGGTGCAAATGGTACACGCTCACCTGCTAAACTCACAGGTTGACAGTTCAAACCCTACCCAGCTGTACTGTGGAAGAAAGGCCAGGAGATAAACTTCCTTTTCATTCTGTAACACATAGAGAGTCAGAAATCTACTGCCAATTCAGTCAGTCCCATTCGGACTCGCCATGGCTTTCCAAGGTTGTAAATCTTAACAGGTGCTGACAGCCTCATCAGTCTCCTACAGGGTGCGTTGGATTTGAACTGCTGACCTTTTTCTGTAAACAGCATCAACATTACCACTAGGCCACTTGGAAAGACTGTGGCAGGTGAAGCACTGAACCTGGATTCGAGTCGCTGAATACCAAATTTGAATAGGAAATTGGGAGGGGGGGGTATGTGCGTGTGTTTGTGTGTGTAAAGGCCCCGGGATCTGGGAGGGGCCGGGTGGGGTCCCTGGGCTGCCAGCCCGGGTCCTTTGCAGCGCGGGTGGGGTTAAGCGAGGGCAGTGGGAGCGAATGATTTCAGAGAAACAGTCCAGGGCCGAGTTCCCATAAACGCGCGGGCCCGCAGGGGGTGGGGCGGGGCTGGAGGAAGTGGGGACGGGAGGGGCGGACCAGCCCTCGGACTTCCAGTAACAGGTCTGCTGGGCGGGGCTCCGCTTCCTGCTCCCGGGGGAGGGAAACCCGAGATCAGTCCTGACACCCCAACTTCCATCCCCAGATGGGGCCAAGGAGGCGAATGAGTCCAGACCTAGGAGACAGGGCCGCTTGAGCGGACTGCACTCCTATTCCCCATCCTTGGACCATTCTGGAACCCCACTGTCCCAGGCTTCAGTCTCCAGCAGGCTTTAGATCCCCCCAGATCCTTGCATCCCCACAAATCTCTTGACCAAAGAATACAACACACCGACACTTCTTGCGGGAATTCAGACTCCAGTCACCCTGAACTCTAGGTCCCTAAACTGTCCTAGACTTGACAAGGACACAGCACCCCAGTCGTTGCTCCTTTGGGGTGCACAGACCTCCAGGCCTCTCACAGAGCCGCTTACACAGGAATGTGACTTGGGCATAGGGTGCTACCCTTCAAAGGTCTGGCTGGTCTTTGTATCATTTTGCAATTTTGCACTGGGGGACCTTTCCCCAAACCCCACCCAAGTATCGAATTCTTTGCTCCCTTGGGGTTCAAGTAATATAGCACCCCCAATTGCTGCTACTCTCTCTTGGAAATCTGCTCCTCCTCAAGTCCCTGACCTCTGCGGGGATAGGGGGACGTTTCAAATGAAAACCCACAAGTCCAGCCTCCCAGCCCTCTGCTTCTCTGGGGCGCAGTCTCAAAGACAAAGTCCCAGCCTTCTCTTCCTCCGCCATCCCCCCAGGCGTGAAGTGGGGCCCGAGGCGCAGACTGGGGCTGGGCTGGCTGCCCATTCCGGTAAAGTCCTGGCCCCAGCGGAAGGGGTTAAGGTTAGAGGGAGCGCCAGAGGGGGGAGGCTGCGAGTGAGTGACGTGGGAGAGGCCGAGCAGCTGGGCTGCGGTCGAGTTCTGCGGGAAGGGATTTCCCCCAAAAGGCAGCTGAGGCAGAAGTGTTTGCATGGGGTGGCGGGGGGGAGCGTAGTGGGAGGGAGGCTGGGGCTGGAGATGGGGCTGAAGGCTGTTTTCACAGGCCACAAACTAGTTCCCCCTGGGGCCAGATACAAATTAAACCCATTTCATAGATGACCCCCAGAGGTACTGTGAGGATGGGAGGGAACTAGGTTTTTGTTGGAGTTCTAGGGACCTGCTGGCACTTTCTCCTGCTGGGGTTCTCTTTGAGCCCACTTATTGAGCACTCACTGTGTGCTCTGTTCTATGCACCATCTGTTTACACCACTGTATAGCATCCTCCCCATGCAGGAGCGCTGTTCCTTCCAGCCTGGGAGCTGAATTCACCCAGGGGCTCATTGGTGAAATCCTGAGCGTCCCTAACTGGCATTCTCACGCCTCCAAACCAATTCTCAGATAAGCACTTTTCTAGAAATAATCCCATTTCTTCCTCACAGAGACCCTCACCTTAGGGCTCTCTCTCTCTCACAGAGGGAGAAACTGAGGCATTGAGCAGGGGGGAAAGTGGGCAACTGAGAGTCAAACCTAGGTCAACTGAATCACAATTATTATTATTACTTTTGACATCTAGAAAGTTCTTCAACCAGCAGGTGATAAACCCCAAGGCTGTGAAATCAATGTGGGGAGAGGGAGAATTTTTTTTTTTTTTTATTAATTCAGGGCCTTGTGGCCCTCACAAAGAGAATGAACTATCCTAGAAGAGAAATTATCAAAGTGGATCCTGGTAACTCACTCATAACTGTCGAATTGGAACGACTCATAGCTGACCCGCCAGCGGGTTTTTGGAGGCTGTAAATCGTCTGGGAGGAGATGATTTAGTGGTCTCTTGAGGATTTGAACTGCTTGCCTTTGGGTTGGCAAGGCAATGCCTTACCCACTAGGCCAATTAAGAGGAATGCTCTTCAGTGCGATTTTATTTCCAAAGGTATGTGTGGTCTGTGTATGTGCACACTAGATTGGATATAAAGTACTATCTGTTGTCTGGTATTGTGGAGTTGGAACCGATGTGGAGTTGGCTTTAAGAGGCAGCCTGCCCATCTTTGTCCTGCATAAAGTACTATTATTACTGTTGTTGTGTACCATCGAGTCTGAAATGACCCTGAGCTGACCCTCTGGTGGATTTTCAGAAGCAGTAATTAATTGCCTGGGAGGAGACTACTCATCCTTCTCCTGTAGAGCATCTGGCAGATTCGAACCACATGCCTTTGGGATTGAAGTGCAGATTCTTACCAGTAGGCCGACTAATAATAAACCCTGGGTATGTAAAACACATATTTACATATTTACTCAATGGCACATAACAACAACAACAACAACAACAACAACATGTAAAACCCTGAGTAGCACAGTTAAGTGCTGGACTACTAGCCAAAATGTTGCTGGTTTGAACCCACCCAGATGCACCTCGGAAGAGAGGTCTGGTGACCCGTTTCCAAAAGGATACACACAGCCTTGAAAGCCCTATGGATCAGTTCTACCCTGCACATGCTGGGTTTACCATGAGTCAGAACTGACAGCAACTAACAAGAACAGTGAGCACTAAACAATATAGCAGGCCTTGGGCATATACCATTCACACAATCAATTAACGAAATGCATTTCCCAATGAGCTGTGATAGAAACTGCTTTAAAAGAATAGTCCTAGAAAGGGTGCGCTCAGGGCACCCATTCTGCAGAAGTGGAAACTGAGGCTTGGTAAGGGGCAAGGTCTTGCTCAAAGCCAGCCACCCAGCAGCCAGGAGTGGAGACAGGATTCTGACTTGGCTCCTGGTAACAAAAGAGCCCAAGCTGAGTGTCCCCGTATCTTGGTGAGGCAAGTGTTCTTGCTACCCTCTATTAGGATGGGATGGTCACTCTAATAGTATGGGACTGTCACTCACGTGTCTCCGTCTTCATCTGCATGGATGGCCAGGGCGATGTCAGCCGACAGGGAGTGTTCCACAGAACACATGAAGGGGTACAGGGGGGCAGACAGGCTTAGCAGAGGGAAGGGGGACCCCATGGTTGGGTTGGGGTACAGGGGTAGAAAGGGTCCTGTAAGTGGGGAACACAGAATGTCATGGGTGAGGCCAGACTCCAAGACCCTTAACCCACCAGCACCTCCTGCAGTGCTGTGTTCTTTGTCCCCATTTTCTCCTGTTGGGTTCTCAAGACTCAGGACAAAGACAAGACAACCCCCTTTCCCCATCCCTCCTCTGCACTCCCACAAACTCCCGATCCTATTCGTTGTCACTTAACCCATCTGCTAGACAAAGATTCACCTAAACAGGTGGACAAGAGACCCAGTCATCACCTAGCAGACCTATCCCAAGGCTGTGTGCTGAGTGAATTTGTGGTGCAGGAAGACAATGACTGGAGAGCCAGGCTAAGGGTGTAAGGTAAGTACACAGAGGGTTTGGGGCATGGGGAGGGTCCATAAGTAAGAGGGGGTGGCGTTAGTATCCTGTCCAGACCCAATGATTTGAAGCAACCATAAAAACAAACAAAAAAACCAAACCCACTGCCTTCAAGTTAATTTTGACTCATCCATGGCAGCAAGCCAATCCACATCTACCCATTGCACAGATGGGGAAAACTGAGGCCCAAGCATGGGAAAGAGCAGGATGGGCAGCAGTGGCCGACTTCTTGATGCACAGCCTGAGCCTCCTCTATCCCTTGCATTTTGAAGGTGCAACAAAGATTGGGGTACAGATGGGCTCTCTGGGGGCTCACTTGGGGATGGTGAGGTGGGCCCAATAAAGAATGCTCTTCCTTGAAACCAGGATGAAGAAATTGTTGTGTGACCTTCATCAGTGGCTATTCCTTTAATTTTGGGGCCCTCTTTTCTTGGTCCCTCAAGTTTCCAAGCCCCTTATATATCTAATGCCAGGTCAAGAACCTGAGGTCTTTTGCCTGGCCACCCCCAAATCCCTTAACCTGGACCTAAGTGTCAGGATTTCAGAATCCCTCCATTCCTAGAACCTCCCAGCCCCAGGCCTTGTCTTTGTGAGCATGCAAAACTGGGTGGCTAGGACCCCGGTTCTGGTTCTCTGTCCCTCGGACTATTTGAGACCCCCAGTGCCAGTGTCTCCAGAACTCCAGTCTGTTTCCATGACTGCCTGTGACTCCCACATAGTGGGGTACCCAGAACCTCAAGCTCTGCTCTCCTGGCTCCTCACACTCCCATGACCTCAGCTGTCTCAGCACCCCAGTCTCTGTCTCTTGATTTCTTTTCACCTATCTGGCTGGGGACCCTAGTTTCTTAGGTCCAGGTCATAACTCCCTAGAAACTCTAGATCATCAGTGCCTAGAACCCTAAACTCTTCCCTCTGGCTCCCCAAGACTCCCATATGAGCCCCCATAGATGTCTCCACAAATTGTCCTTGGCTCCCTACACTTGACCCTCGGGACACTGAGCTCTGTGCCCCAGGCTTTCATGCCCCTAGCTCCCTGGCACTTCCATATCTGTCCCAGAGTCCTTGGGTTTTGTCCTCCAGCTCTGCCCCTGGCTCTCGGGGACCCACCGCTCTGCACAGCTCTCACCGGCCCTGATTCTTGGGGTTCACTCACCCTGGTAGTAAAGCGCTTCTGGCCGGGGCAAGCCGTGGGGGGGCCCGGGGACGCCGGGTGCCTCAGGGCCCCCGCAGAGCGACTCCGGGGGGACTCCGGGGCCCGCGGCTGCTTGTCGGGCGGCGGGCTCCAAGGAGGGCGCGCGCAGAGGGCGCTTGCGGAGCGGTAGCGCGGCGCCCGGGGGTCCTGCGGCCTTGGGCCGGGTGCGCAGGTCC